CAAACATTCTTTCCATTCGTCATGTAATCGGAACATCTAAGGCAAGTCGACCAACTGAATTTCTTGAATCAACTGATAACAGTGATTGGATAGATGAAGTGCAGGTCAACACGGAAACACACACAGGGATTCGTCTACAACGCTTCATCATCACCGAATGAAATTATTTTCGTGTCTCCAGTCAACTAATTCTAATTCTTAATTCTACACAACAAAATGAATGACGATCTTCAATTTTGTTAGTTTACGGAAATTCACCAAACAGTATGTTGTCTATATACCAATACAAGATGTACCACACAGAGAACCGGAAATCATCATGACAGTTGGTTGGGGTTCTATCATGAATTACAAACTATAAGCTTTACTATTAAATTCCAGTGGTTTTCAAAGAATTCCGTGACATAACTTCATGAGAATAGAATCAATGGATAAGTAGAAAAAGCTTCGTAAATGCACATTAACAACATAAACCTCACAACGGATCATATCAAATTGGACAAACCTACTCATATATTAACCAATATGTTTTTCTGAATGGATTCGTATTTCCAGTTGTACAAATCGATTTTGTCCTCCAAACACATGTTGATGAGAGCAGCTCATTACTATCACATATATCGAACCAATCACCAAGTTGATTTCGTTCCATATACAATCGAACACAATGTGAGATTGTATTTCTCCAATTCAGTAGACTTGATGATTTATTCGATGCACTGGTATTTCTGTTCATCTCAGTTGTTGTAGGAATGCTCACAACTGCATACACAGTTTGATAAGAAATGACTGTGACGAGGAAGAACAAATTGACTAACATTGTTCAACTAATTAGTTGTGGAAGTGAAATGGGTTTATATTATGCACAGCACAGAAGGTCGAGTAGTTGCATTATATATGGTGTTTTATATAGGTCATATCATGTTACAATGAATTAATTTTATCGACATCCAATTAAAGAATACGTGCTATCTAGTTAGATATAGTAGCATAAACTAATACAATGCACTCGCATTTGACCTTATTCCTTAAATCTTATCGAACAATACCCACACGCACAAATTTACATGCAGATCTCTTATGAATCATCTTGACGGGAATGACATGACATTAACTTATTCAGACCTGCTTTTGATTGATCCAATATTATTCTTGCATTGTCCAGTTGTGCCATTTATACTTGGATTAATTTTAATTAGGTTATTTATTCTCTGAAGAAGTGACTTACACTAAGTGACGAAAAGTCAGAAAAATCTAAATTTCGACTCATTGAGATAGTACAAATATATTATTTTTAACTTAGAAACCCATAATCGTCACGAAACTATCACACGTAAATCTTACAGCTCACCTTATTCTTTCGACATGGATGATTTAAACAGACACACAATGGTTGATTTCACTATTTTATCAGGGACAATGCCAAATTGTTTATTGTTGCTCGTTACGATGATATCTTGCTCCACAGTGTGGTGACTTGAAACGTTGTAAACTACAACCGAGGATCACACAAATTCGCAGTTTGTTCAGCACGCTCCACCAGATTGCATAACATTAAATACTGGGTGGTATATTCGTACGTTTCCGCAAATTACTTCACCAGTCATCTTATGAAATGTGTATATTGCAATTTTCTTGTGAGTCTGTAGTGACTCACGTTTATCACGAGAACACGACTGGTTTAATAAAAGCAATTATTATTATAACCAACTGTACCAGTGTTTGTTTTAACGTGCTTTTGTTTGACTGTGCTAATGACAGCTATTTTGGGCTTCCATTCACTTACTTACACTTTGATTGTAACTTCGCGTGAATTCGGTTACCTTCTGTAACCAAGATTGTATCCAGGCACGATCTCGGTATCCTTTCGATGCCACGAGATCGCCAGCTAATAAACCTCGACTTGGTCCATTAACTGTCTTCTGATATTTGGCTTCTCGGGGATTTTATGGAGTCATTTGGAACGAGCTTCTTACACCTTCTGATTCGCTTGGCACGTGTTTCTTTGTAGCGGTGTTCATAGTTAACCTCAACTCGACGCCACGCTACAAGTCCTCTGTCATACAAATCCATTTGGACAGTATCTAGTCAGTGTCGCATATATGATAACAAGTGTTATCCGATCATTATTTGCAAGATAAATTGGACCAAACATTGAAATGAAATGCAATGTTTCGATAATTCTCGCTCAACAAATCGACGTTGTCAGTAGATAGAATTACTCCCTACTCAGTTCCAAACACTTTGGAATAAGACTGATCAACAATACGAATAGATTGAATTTTAGCATGTACACCATTGTAGTTTGACTGAGTAGTCTGGAAGCTAAGTAATTCTGTGTGTGACGGAAGAGGCTAGCTCTCTTCACTGTTTCAAGTGGTTGTTTAACGCATATTGTTCGTCCATGTTCACGATCAAATTACAAAATTCCATTAACATCTTGTTGCAATGTTGATTCCAGCTGAATATTAAAGTAAACATCAACAATGTAAACCGAATCAGTAGTAAACATGATTTGATGAGCTTCATTAGGAAAATGTCTCTTCATTGACTTGATTTGCTACATTGAGTCACACAGTCTACTGAGGATATTCTCGAAGGATTGACTAAGTAGTCACTTCACTGCATCAGACGATGTAAATCTTGTTTGTTATCAATTCATTTAACTACTGGAAAATTTACACCGAATAAGGGAGCTGAGTGGAAGTAAAACAGTGATGTTCCACTCTTCAACATGAAATATTATGTGGTGAATGAAATTTCAGTCATTTTTTGCACTCGATGCACTGTTTTGAGCATTTTCGGTAAACCGGATTGAACAATGTTTGTTAGTATATTAAACTTGAGGCATTTTCATTCAGCTGTCATGAGCATAGAATTGTATATGTGAAATGGAAGACATATTTCCGATCGAGTTCATCAATGAGTTCACATAGGAAATTACTGTATGTAAGGATTTCTTTCAGTCCAGTTGTATGGAAAGCTGTGCAAATGTTCACATGTAATAAATTATGCAAATCAAAACAGTTTATGTGTTTGTCTAAGACCATTAGATTGAAGGAAGTAGACGAATCCCGGTATCACATGATATTCCAACAAGATACATGTGTTACAGTTATTCGTCGAGGTGGACTACGATCAGTTGGATCCATAATGAAGTGTTTAACATGGCCTGGAAACAGTGTTCATTCACCTTGTAATATACCACGAGAGTCAACTAGGATGTCTGATGAAAGTGGGAAAAATATTGTTGATGCACTGAATCAGGAGTGGAATTCTGGAAACGAAACACCCAATGAATTTGACCCAGGTTCATCAGAGAAATACAGTGAAAATGTTGATATTATTACTAAGCGAAATCATTACTTGACCCCTGTATTGCTATCATGCTATCACAAATCAACAATTACATTTTAATTAACAATATCAAGACTTTTAACAATTGTGTAGATTAACGCATTACAAGTTGACACTGAGAGTGAAATGATTTCAATGGTATGATTTATTTTGTTATTTTAGTAAGGCATTATCTAGTTGAAATGAATTGCACGAGGTGAAGTGTTCTGGATGTGCATGAACAAAATGCATGACATATTTGATGGGTGTCAGAATATGCGACTGTTCGAAACAGTTCATTAACATTATTATCATTTTTACCATCATCTATTAGGGGGGAAATGAGTTATTTATTCAGAGTTATAGAGAAATATCTTATCTGTGGAACTTCCATATTTGTTTCTGCAATGCAATCACCAAGTAAGCGATATCACTACACAATTCGTACGCTAATAAATTAATATTTAGATCTCCAGAACAATACCGTTTAGTGGAGCGTGGTCGTAGTCGAATGAACACTAGGAGGGAAACAAGCTGAACTGAGAGGATTCTACGAGATATTCTAAGATAGTTCAGAAAACTTGTAGACAATAAATAAGTGATCGATAATCAAGCTTTTTCACAAATCCAATCGATAAGCCATCGAAATCTGAAGTCAATTAGAATTATTCTATTGATGAAGAAGCGCTAATCACATCGATACTAATCGACTGAGAGAAACGTCAGTGTTGTTAATGAACCTGAGTTGTTGACAAAGACAATATTATATACTGGGTGACATTTTCAGTATGATAACAACAGTATACAATCAATGTGCACATCACATCACATTCTTGTACTGATTGAATGATATATAGATCAATCACGTTTAATCCAATGAATTTCGCAAAATAACAAATGAGTGTTACTCGATACCTCACTAATTCACTTCACATGTGATCCGATCACACAAATTCTCTTAGATCGAATCGGCATACTAACTTCACAACACAGATGAGCATTTTGCATCAGTTCGATCACAATCTTCCTAATTTCTGTTTGTCTACAGAATCTTCCAACCGTATCTACCATGCTAAAACATGTTCTGTGACACGAGAACAATGATAACACAATGGCACAAACAACACATCCATTAGTCATATCAATACATGTGAACATTTCACTGATACTTATCAAGTCTCACTCCATGCGAATTCCCCTTCACATCACAGGATTATGTACATGTTCGATTCCACTGAAAACTGACAGTTAGCCACCATGCATCACGCTCTCATTTCATTTTCATGATAAGATGATTTGACATACACAAATTAAACAAGTGTCAATCATTCGACTTGAAAATGTTGAAATTTGAAGATGGTGTAGAGTTGAATATTATTGCTTCACAAAATTGTGCGATCAAATCTAACTGATTATGTAAAGATAATATCTCATGCATAGAGAATGTGATGCATGTGATCGGTTGACACAACGTTTCCCACAAACTAAATAATTTTTCACATTATATGATCGATATGAAAATGGCATAAGCAATGCAACTACTCGACCAACTATGTTGTGGATAATATAAAACGATTTCACTTCCACAACTAATTAGTTGAACAATGTTAGTCAATTTGTTCTTCCTCGTCACAGTCATTTCTTATCAAACTGTGTATGCAGTTATGAGCATTCCTACAACAACTGAGATGAACAGAAATACCAGTGCATCGAATAAATCATCAAGTCTACTGAATTGGAGAAATACAATCTCACATTGTGTTCGATTGTATATGGAACGAAAACAACTTGGTGATTGGTTCGATATATGTGATAGTAATGAGCTGCTCTCATCAACATGTGTTTGGAGGACAAAATCGATTTGTACAACTGGAAATACGAATCCATTCAGAAAAACATATTGGTTAATATATGAGTAGGTTTGTCCAATTTGATATGATCCGTTGTGAGGTTTATGTTGTTAATGTGCATTTACGAAGCTTTTTCTACTTATCCGTTAATTCTATTCTCATGAAGTTATGTCACGGAATTCTTTGAAAACCACTGGAATTTAATAGTAAAGCTTATAGTTTGTAATTCATGATAGAACCCCAACCAACTGTCATGATGATTTCCGGTTCTCTATGTGGTCGTATAACACTTGTTAACATATATGAGACACTGACTAGATACTGTCCAAATGCATTTGTATGACAGAGGACTCACAAGAAACTTGCAACATACACATTTCATAAGATGACTAGTGAAGTAATTTGCGGAAACGTACGAATATACCACCCAGTATTTAATGTTATGCAATCTGGTGGAGCGTGCTGAACAAACTGCGAATTTGTGTGATCCTCGGTTGTAGTTTACAACGTTTCAAGTCACCACACTGTGGAGCAAGATATCATCGTAACGAGCAACAATAAACAATTTGGCATTGTCCCTGATAAAATAGTGAAATCAACCATTGTGTGTCTGTTTAAATCATTCATGTCGAAAGAATAAGGTGAGCTGTAAGATTTACGTGTGATAGTTTCGTGACGATTATGGGTTTCTAAGTTAAAAATAATATATTTGTACTATCTCAATGAGTCGAAATTTAGATTTTTCTGACTTTTCGTCACTTAGTATAAGTCACTTCTTCAGAGAATAAATAACCTAATTAAAATTAATCCAAGTATAAATGGCACAACTGGACAATGCAAGAATAATATTGGATCAATCAAAAGCAGGTCTGAATAAGTTAATGTCATGTCATTCCCGTCAAGATGATTCATAAGAGATCTGCATGTAAATTTGTGCGTGTGGGTATTGTTCGATAAGATTTAAGGAATAAGGTCAAATGCGAGTGCATTGTATTAGTTTATGCTACTATATCTAACTAGATAGCACGTATTCTTTAATTGGATGTCGATAAAATTAATTCATTGTAACATGATATGACCTATATAAAACACCATATATAATGCAACTACTCGACCTTCTGTGCTGTGCATAATATAAACCGATTTCACTTCCACAACTAATTAGTTGAACAATGTTAGTCAATTTGTTCTTCCTCGTCACAGTCATTTCTTATCAAACTGTGTATGCAGTTATGAGCATTCCTACAACAACTGAGATGAACAGCAATACCAGTGCATCGAATAAATCATCAAGTCTACTGAATTGGAGAAATACAATCTCACATTGTGTTCGATTGTATATGGAACGAAAACAACTTGGTGATTGGTTCGATATATGTGATAGTAATGAGCTGCTCTCATCAACATGTGTTTGGAGGACAAAATCGATTTGTACAACTGGAAATACGAATCCATTCAGAAAAACATATTGGTTAATATATGAGTAGGTTTGTCCAATTTGATATGACCCGTTGTGAGGTTTATGTTGTTAATGTGCATTTACGAAGCTTTTTCTACTTATCCATTGATTCTATTCTCATGAAGTTATGTCACGGAATTCTTTGAAAACCACTGGAATTTAATAGTTACGCATATAATTAGTAATTCATGATACAATCCCAACCAACTGTCATGATGATTTCCGGTTCTCTGTGTGGTACATCTTGTATTGGTATATAGACAACATACTGTTTGGTGAATTTTCGTAAACTAACAAAATTGAAGATCACCATTCATTTTGTTGTGTAGAATTAAGAATTAGAATTAGTTGACTGGAGACACGAAAATAATTTCATTCGGTGATGATGAAGCGTTGTAGACGAATCCCTGTTTGTGTTTCCGTGTTGACCTGCACTTCATCTATCCAATCACTGTTATCAGTTGATTCACGAAATGTAGTTGGTCGACTTTATTCAGATATTCCGATTACGTGACGAATGGAAAGAGTGTTTGCTTCGTTTTGTATATTTTCGGATTATATGTAGGTAATTTGCCTAATTATCTGATGCTTCCATTGTCTCCTACCAAAGATCATCAAATGTGAAAATATGAATATAAAATGAGATGAGATCAGTGAGAATATCAGTTAATTTTATACACCTTCCCTGTCTTCGTTGGTTTTCAGCAGAACAACTTATGTGTTTATCTGTGATCAAACGATGACTGGCAAATTGTGGTTCAGTTGATCTACACTTGAGCAGCATCCGTTGAATGAATAATTAATGTCTAGAGTAGTTCTAGAGCAAATACATTCCACAGAACTGTGATACTTTCTGATCTATAAATAAATTGAATTAATTATCATCATGATTAATTTATGATTTTCATATCTACTTTTGCACGATTTTATCCATCTTTATTTAGACGATCTCCTTTCGCAGGACCTTACATACTACTCAGTGCCAGTAAATGTATTGACGATATAAATCAGTATAAACTTTCGGCAACTATGTCAATACTGATCTGTGTGGAGAAATTAACGGCAAAATGGGATGTTGTCGTTTCTTGTCAATATCCAAAACGACCATGGAGGGAATTTTTCCCAGTAAACTGGCACTCTGATGATGACGTCATATCTAAATCTGGAACGGAATCAGCTGATGAAGCAGAAGCTTCCTCACTGGAAGAAACAAAAAGTTTGGTAGATCTACAGAAGAACAGTGTCAACAATAAATAATTACAAGTACAACCTCTTCGTTTTAATTCCGTTCGTCAAATATTCACGTGCAAGCGGATATAAGTCTACTATGAGAGAATGAGAGAGTGAGCTGAAAATGATGTTGGTAGTCGTTTTTCATGAACTGCTATTCGAAATGTCATTGTAAATAACGTACAGTGATCATATGAATAATGAATTTGCATAATTTTTCAATGAATCTACAAAATGGCTATTATACACCATCACTTGGTTTTCAAACACAAATCTCGAAACATATTTATTGGAACTTGCTCAGTTCAATGTCCCTATTACGACTTGTGAGCACCTCGATACAGTTCAGATTCCTTTAAATAGCTGTAACTTTGCCTGTATGAGTAAAGACCGTCACACCAGTTTGTATGACTCAGTCCATTACTCAAAGTATCAGCTGTCTAAATACCAGTTTCAAATGAGTGAAATGAATTTGAACTTAATAGACTTGTTATGTTCACACAGTTGTCAGCTGAATAAAACATTCTGAAGTTTATCTTTAATTACGTGACATACATTATTAAATAAGCAGTCGAACTTTCCTATTTGCATGTAAGTTCTGAAAATATTTTGGAAGCTTTCAGAAAGTGGAATAATGTAGTCAGTGTGCTTATTTCAACCATAAACTTTAGTGATCAAATAGCAATACAAACCTGATCGGATCGTCCCTATTCTTCATTCCCAACCTTCTGAATATACGTTGAAATTTAGTGACAGTGCTAAGCCAATCATGATCAAGAAGGTAGTGTTGAGGTCACGATGGAAATATTGAATTTCAGTGTATGTAGGCAACATTAGACTCATTCCAGTCAACCAGAATATATCAAATATCGATGCGTAATTTATTATGTAAAATACAGTAACCTACAAGGTAGTAAAACTTTCACTGATTTCTCGTTATTTATTTTATCTTGAATGTAATAGAGAGGTTTATCCGTAAGGCTCCATATCACTTTGACTTGGATCTTTGTTTGGTCTGTTCAGCAAAACATGTACTACAAAATGCCTTCCAAATATTTGGTCTATACTATTCTGTTGACCACTAGGTAGCTGAATGAAAACTAATCATCATCAGTACTCAAATATTTGCTCTTGAGAGTACGAATCCTCTCACACATGTGTCAAAATAATCTCTTCACATTGGTTTATTTCGCTAGTGAACATTACAGTTAAACAATACTGCAAGCAGCAATTCATTGAGTACTCTTATAACCGACTAGCATCCACAATGGCACATGAATCAATATCTCACTAATCTAACGCTTCTCAACAAATCTATCACGCTTTGTTTATTGAACTGAGTAATGGTGAAGAGGAGAATGATGTTATTAGTTGGATATTTGCATGCTGGCTTGAAAGTTGTTTCTTGATCCGCATCGGTCATGCATTACAATCAAATTTGCCTAATATTGCTTACCAGTAACAAAACACATCATTCATGAGAAGTACGTCATGCAATGTATTATGTAACTGAGTCATACACAGTCCAATATTTCATACTCACATAACTCACATCATCATGTGCACAAGCACATTTTGGTGTATCATAACGAAATAGTTAGTGGTAATTAGGCATCGATATAGTTGTTGCACGAAATCCATCATTGAAACGACAATCATAAAGAAACATTTACCATTACAGCGTTGACTGACATAGATCATTTCTATTTATTCAGTGTCACCAATTCGCTTCCACTCGAAATATCTGGTTTTCATTTTACAAGGGAGAATATTATTCTATGCTAATTCCAAATATTCAGATATCAAAATCTCTCTCCTGTTCACATCCAGTTATTGGAGACATACATATGGACAGTGATAAGTAATTATAAATCAAAATCTGAGTGGACATTAATTGAGGTGAAATGTAGATCGGTTGATCACAGTTGTGCTTCGACGTTCAGTGCACTTGTGGTGTGCACTTGTAGTGCACTTGTAGTCATTAGTTTTAGCTGATAATATATTTTATTCTAGTTTTCGGACATATCATTCTATTCATTCTACTTGAGTCATGTTTTGACCTTGTTAATTATTCGCTTATTAGCCTTGACTGTTTTCACATGAGAGTACATGTGTGTACACTTCATGTCCGATGACTCATCACATGTCTGTAGTTCATTTTGTCTGTCTATAAATATTGAGTAATGTTCGGCTTGAATTGGAGTTGGCTTCCCAGCCATCCTCCCCGCGCGTCATTTCGCTTTGTTCTATCGCATTCACTTTACATACAAAATATATGTATTCAATGGCCATTCTCGTTAATTGGCCTATTTAATTCGGTTATTGGCTAACGCGAGTTAAGTCGACGATGATAAACGAGAATCAGCGATAACAAACATTTATACGATCTTGGAGTCAGATCAGACGGCCACAAAACACTTCATAGAATAACGCCTGGCGTTATGCGAGTTCATTGCACAATGTCCTATATGAAATTCACTAAGAAAAACAGCAATGCAATGTTTGCTGGCTTACAATGTTTGTTTATCCACGGTCAGTCAGCTAGTCATTTATTGAGTCAGTCAGTCAATTAGTAAGTATAATTATATACAAAATCTGACAATATCTACTATATCTCGGTACTAGAAATTTACTCTATCGAATATATATGCGTTGCATAGTTTAATGGACAAAGTATATACCTATTATATAGTGTGATAGCACAACGGATTATTGTTCAGATTGAGACTTAATTTAAAATCTACAACTCAATTAGTATGATACTCATATAGCTAATCATTTTCTTCTCTTATCTTGAACAAAATCCTTCGAAGTGTATCCGCTAACTTTGTGCAATATAAACAATAAACGTTTACCCAAATTAATGTTTGGCTACAAGCAATCGTTCATGTGGATATTCAAAGTTCACAAGTCTCACTTTTAAGCTAACCGGTAAATGCTTATTAGTATAAGATGAAAACAGTTCAATTCACCATGTAAACTACCTGTGCAATCTATTCAACTTGTATACGAGTCAAGTGAGGAGTAAGATAAAAGTGATGACATAACTATATTTGACATCAGATAATGTGATCAAATGAAGGGATTGTAATAAGTGAATTATCCATGAAAACTCCTTTCCTAATTCACTAGTAAACATTCAAGTGTCCTGAAATTCCTGTATTCCCTGTATTATGTCTCATTGTTTCAACAGACTAAGAAGCATATAAGCAGTTAACAGAGTGAATCAATATCCATCGATTCGAAATAAACAAGCTGTCTATAGTAAATTTCGACATAGTAGTAAGATACTTCAAAAGGAGTAAACAATCAAATGAGATAGGCGATACAACTGCAAACAATAAAGTGGTTCGAAACTTTAGAAAAATCCACAATATTTAAGATGAGCAGTTCATTTCAATAAAGAAATCAGGGAGGAAGGCTTCAAATTGATTGATAATCATTTAATCTACTGTACAATACCAAGTAGTATGGTAAGATAAGTGAAACACGTAATCAATGAAAGAGTGTAGTTATTTCTTTTCAATCTCCAATTCAGTTAACATTATGATAACTCTACGATATTTACAATGATAATTCAAATAGTAGGTTATGAAAAATACCTCTGGAGAACAGAATGTTCACTTACAACATAGAATTGGATAAGTGCCACGTTCTTACAAAACAATCTGTACTACTCTCTCAGTCAACTCTCTGTTGGAACATTGTGCAACACGGCATTGAAATTTTACTGATCGGAACGACGTGGACTGACAAGTTATATTTTCACAACTCGATGATTATCAACCAGCTTAATTAATGTCGGTGAACTAGCAGGTTAAATTGTTTAGAACACCATCATTTTCGTATTCTTGAAACTTGGTGTTTAACATTCACTTTTCCCAATAACATCTACCACTAACAATATGTTATATCCTAGCGAAGATTAAATTACGAGTAACTCCTGAGACCTAATAATGGACTAATATTATCTATATACTCCTGTGGTATAACTATTCAGTGACTAGATTATGGATATCTATATTCCACTTATTAGAAGCTTCGTTTTGCTCCACAGATTATTATTAATATTATTATTATCATCATTGTTATAACATTATTTTCTGTTCATAAGTTATACTCAGGTTATTGATTACGGTCTCCCACGTTCACAGCCACTTTCTGGCTTTATTGTGTACAAATGTTATTTCCTACTTATGGTGCGTTGTGGTCTGTTTGGTTGATATATAAACCCAGTATGTCTGAAATAAATAATTCGCATAGTGGAAGCTGTTGTTGGCATTGTAGACTTAGAGGGACGGGCTAGACGAGCAATGGATTAATAGGACGCTAGGCTGATCAGACCGAACGAACGTCATTGGATTAGTACAGTACACGAGTGAATAAGTAGTAATTTCATTTGCGAATAAATTACGTGATAACTAGTGGTGTATAAAGACACAAAACAATGGATATTGAACTGTTATCCGTCATAAATATCAGTCGATATTCATCGTGATTCAGATAAACTGCTTACGTCGATTGATTCAAAACAACTACAAACATCATTTTCAGCTCGCTCTCTCATTCTCTCATAGTAGACTGATATCCGCTTGCACGTGAATATTTGACGAACGGAATTAAAACGAAGAGGTTGTACTTGTAATTATTTATTGTTGACACTGTTCTTCTGTAGATCTACCAAACTTTCTATTTCTTCCAGTGAGGAAGCTTCTGCTTCATCAGCTGATTCCGTTCCAGATTTAGATATGACGTTATCATCAGAGTGCCAGTTTACTGGGAAAAATTCCCTCCATGGTCGTTTTGGATATTGACAAGAAACAAACACATCCCATTTTGCCGTTAATTTCTCCACACAGATCAGTATTGACATAGTTGCCGAAAGTTTATACTGATTTATATCGTCAATACATTTACTGGCACTGAGTAGTATGTAAGGTCCTGCGAAATGAGATCGTCTAAATAAAGATGGATAAAATCGTGCAAAAGTAGATATGAAAATCATAAATTAATCATGATGATAATTAATTCAATTTATTTATAGATCAGAAAGTATCACAGTTCTGTGGAATGTATTTGCTCTAGAACTACTCTAGACATTAATTATTCATTCAACGGATGCTGCTCAAGTGTAGATCAACTGAACCACAATTTGCCAGTCATCATTTGATCACAGATAAACACATAACTTGTTCTGCTGAAAACCAACGAAGACAGGGAAGGTGTATAAAATTAACTGATATTCTCACTGATCTCATCTCATTTTATATTCATATTTTCACATTTGATGATCTTTGGTAGGAGACAATGGAAGCATCAGATAATTAGGCACATAAATGAATATACATCCGACAAATATACCAAAAGCGCAAAACTCCTTTCCATTGTCACTGTACTAGGCCCAGCAAAGGCAATTTCGACAAGAATTACTATACATCTCAACTTAACATACTTTCTTTTAACTATTACTAGTCATTCGGACCCTTAAACCACCCCCCGGTATACTTCTACACAGTCACCTCACGACATTGAATATAATTCGTGTCTACTTCAACAACGTTAAATCATCATCTACACCCCCCATTACTGTATGATCTTAACAAAAGTACTATAACTGCCCATCCCCACCCTTTTTCATAAGTCTAAATACAATCCCCGCTGTACCCCCTCTCCCTTACACTCATCATTACGATGTTATTGGGTTCTATCAAATCCTACAAGCTATCTCCTATCTCTTCCCATCTATTTTAATTCCATACTACCTGACTCACTTATTCTCATACACCAACCCCTTCTATAATCCCTAATACCATTCATTACCACATAACCTCACAACGGATCAACACCCTTTTACCCCCTACTCTATATATTAACCACTTAAAACTTCCATTCCAATAAAAACCCTATTCACCCCTCCTCAAATTACACCCCCCATAATCATCTCTCTCACCAAATCATCAAACACATCCCCACCCTAATCAAATAACCACACCCACTCTCCCATATTCTATACAAAACACACTACTCAATCCATCAAACCAACTCATTCATTTCATCATAACACACAATAATACTCCATACACCCAATCATCCTAATCAACTTCCCATCCATAATCTCTTGTCGTCCCACATCACCCAATAACCACCAACTAATATTTCCTCCCACTTATACAAACATCCCCCTCTTATATACTAATCCAACAACACACTTAAAAAACACAATTTAAAACCCCCACCACCCCTCCCCCCCCCCCACCCCCCCCCCCAACCCTCCCCCACCCCACAACCCCACCCCACACACCACCAACCACCCCCCACCCACCCACCCCCACACCACCACACCCACCCCCACCCCCACCCCACACCCCCCCCCCCCCACCCCCCACCCCCCCACCCCAAACCCCACCCCCCCCCCACCCCCCCCACCCACCCCACCCAACCCCCCACCCCCCCCACCCCCCCCACCCCACCCCCCCCCCCCCCCACCCCACAAACACCCCCCCCCCCTCCCCCCCTCCCACCCGCCCCCCCCCCCCCCTCCCCCCCCCCCCCCCATCATGTTACAATGAATTAATTTTATCGACATCCAATTAAAGAATACGTGCTATCTAGTTAGATATAGTAGCATAAACTAATACAATGCACTCGCATTTGACCTTATTCCTTAAATCTTATCGAACAATACCCACACGCACAAATTTACATGCAGATCTCTTATGAATCATCTTGACGGGAATGACATGACATTAACTTATTCAGACCTGCTTTTGATTGATCCAATATTATTCTTGCATTGTCCAGTTGTGCTATTTATACTTCTATTAATTTTGAATTAGGTTATTTATTCTCTGAAGAAGTGACTTACACTAAGTGACGAAAAGTCAGAAAAATCTAAATTTCGACTCATTGAGATAGTACAAATATATTATTTTTAACTTAGAAACCCATAATCGTCACGAAACTATCACACGTAAATCTTACAGCCCACCTTATTTTTTTGACATGAATGATGTAAACAGACACACAATGGTTGATTTCACTATTTTATCAGGGACAATGCCAAATTGTTTATTGTTGCTCGTTACGATGATATCTTGCTCCACAGTGTGGTGACTTGAAACGTTGTAAACTACAACCGAGGATCACACAAATTCGCAGTTTGTTCAGCACGCTCCACCAGATTGCATAACATTAAATACTGGGTGGTATATTCGTACGTTTCCGCAAATTACTTCACTAGTCATCTTATGAAATGTGTATGTTGCAAGTTTCTTGTGAGTCCTCTATCATACAAATCCATTTGGACAATATCTAGTCAATGTCTCATATATGATAACAAGTGTTATACGACCACATAGAGAACCGGAAATCATCATGACAGTTGGTTGGGGTTCTATCATGAATTACAAACTATAAGCTTTACTATTAAATTCCAGTGGTTTTCAATGAATTCCGTGACATAACTTCATGAGAATAAAATTAACGGATAATTAGACAAAGCTTCGTAGATGCACATTAACAACATAAACCTCACAACGGATCATATCAAATTGGACAAACCTACTCATATATTAACCAATATGTTTTTCTGAATGGATTCGTATTTCCAGTTGTACAAATCGATTTTGTCCTCCAAACACATGTTGATGAGAGCAGCTCATTACTATCACATATATCGAACCAATCACCAAGTTGATTTCGTTCCATATACAATCGAACACAATGTGAGATTGTATTTCTCCAATTCAGTAGACTTGATGATTTATTCGATGCACTGGTATTGCTGTTCAACTCAGTTGTTGTAGGAATGCTCATAACTGCATACACAGTTTGATAAGAAATGACTGTGACGAGGAAGAACAAATTGACTAACATTGTTCAACTAATTAGTTGTGGAAGTGAAATCGTTTTATATTATCCACAACATAGTTGGTCGAGTAGTTGCATTGCTTATGCCATTTTCATATCGGTCATATGATGTGAAAAATTATTTAGTTTGTGGGAAACGTTGTGTCAACCGATCACATGCATCACATTCTCTATGCATGAGATATTATCTTTACATAATCAGTTAGATTTGATCGCACAATTTTGTGAAGCAATAATATTCAACTCTACACCATCTTCAAATTTCCACATTTTCAAGTCGAATGATTAACACTTGTTTAATTTGTGTATGTCAAATCATCTTATCATGAAAATGAAATGAGAGCGTGATGCATGGTGACCAAATGTCAGTTTTCAGTGGAATCGAACATGTACACAATCCTGTGATGTGAAGAGGAATTCGCATGGAGTGAGACTTGATAAGTATCAGTGAAATGTTCACATGTATTGATATGACTAATGGATGGGTTGTTTGTGCCATTGTGTTATCATTGTTCTCGTGTCACGGAACATGTTTTAGCATGGTAGATACGGTTGGAAGATTCTCTAGACAAACTGAAATTAGGAAGATTGTGATCGAACTGTTGCAAAATGCTCATCTGTGTTGTGAAGTTAGTATGCCGATTCGATCTAAGAGAATTTGTGTGATCGGATCACATGTGAAGTGAATTAGTGAGGTATCGAGTAACACTCATTTGTTATTATGGGAAATTCATTGGATTAAACGTGATTGATCTATATATCATTCAATCAGTACAAGAATGTGATGTGATGTGCACATTGATTGTATACTGTTGTTATCATACTGAAAATGTCACCCAGTATATAATATTGTCTTTGTCAACAACTCAGGTTCATTAACAACACTGACGTTTCTCTCAGTCGATTAGTATCGATGTGATTAGCGCTTCTTTATCATTAGAATAATTCTAATTGACTTCAGATTTCGATGGCTTATCGATTGGATTTGTGAAAAAGCTTGATTATCGATCACTTATTTATTGTCTACAGGTTTCCTGAAATATCTTAGAATATCTCTTAGAATCCTCTCAGTTCAGCTTGTTTCCGTCCTATTGTTCATTCGACTACGACCACTCTCCCCTAAACAGTATTGTTCTGGAGATCTAAATATGTATTTATTAGTGTACGAATTGTGTAGCGATATCGCTTACTTGGTGATTGCATTGCAGAAACAAATATGGAAGTTCCACAGATAAGATATTTCTCTATAACTCTGAATAAATAACTCATTTCCCCCCTAATAGATGATAGTAATAATGATAATAATGTTAATGAACTGTTTCGAACAGTCGCATATTCTGACACCCATCAAATATGTCATGCATTTTGTTCATACACATCCAGAAAACTTCACCTCGTGCAATTCATTTCAACTAGATAATGCCTTACTAAAATAACAAAATAAATCATACCATTGAAATCATTTAACTCTCAGTGTCAACTTGTAATGCGTTAATCTACACAATTGTTAAAAGTCTTGATATTGTTAATTAAAATGTAATTGTTGACTAGTGACAGCATGATAGCAAAACAAGTGTCAAGTAATGATTTCACTTAGTAATAATATCAACATTTTCACTGTATTTCTCTGATGAACCTGGGTCAAATTCATTGGGTGTTTCGTTTCCAGAATTCCACTCCTGATTCAGTGCATCAACAATATTTTTCCCACTTTCATCAGACATCCTCGTTGACTCTCGTGGTATATTACAAGGTGAATGAACACTGTTTCCAGGCCATGTTAAACACTTCATTATGGATCCAACTGATCGTAGTCCACCTCGACGAATAACTGTAACACATGTATCTGGTTGAACTAGTATATATCGACCACGAAACATCACTTGCCTGAAAACAAGTTCACGGTAATGAGAATACACATGTGACTGACAACATGGAAGTTTCAATATTGATAAAACTGTTTGGAAAACAAACCACTTGAAGTTATTTACCTTACATTGAACATCTGCATTTATGCACAGACTAAACATGTTGAATAAAATTTCCAACGAAATGAAGTATACCGATGATCATCATTATCTTCTCAACTTACAATCCGATATCCATTTTATACACAAATTAATAATGTTGTCGATTTCCAATCACAAATTACCATCCTAATGCTTGAACAAATACAAGATGACAGACGTATGTGCTTGAGTTTCCCAGTGTTGATGTTCATGTCTACATTTGATTACACTTGATATGCATACGTGCATGCTGAGTGGATTAGCTCGAGATTATCCTTCGTTAAAAACACCAAATGTAATATCATGTGCTACCGGGACTCGTCTACTTCCTTCAATCTAATGGGCTTATAAACACATAAACTGTTTTGATATGCATAATTTACTACATGTGAACATTTGCACAGATTTCCATACAACTAGGCTGAAACAAATCCTTCCACACAATGATTTCCTATGTGAATTCATTGATGTACTCGATCGGCAATATGTCTTCCATTTCACACATAGTATTCTATGCTCAAAACAACTGAATGAAAATGCCTCAATTTTATTAGACTAACAAACATCATTCAATCTGGTTTAAACAACCACTTGAAACAGGAGTCAGTCAAGAGTGGTTTTCTTCTAGTATCTCATTAATGGTGTTGACAGAAGTGACTAGACCTAGGCACTTCCGTTACACACAGAATTGCTTAGCTTCCAGAACACTCAGTCAAACCACAATGGTGTACATGTTGAAATTCGATGTGTTCGTATTGTTGATCAGTCTTATTCCAACGTGTTTGTAAGTGAGTAAGGAGTAATTCTATGTAAATACATCGTCGATTTGTTGAGCGACAATTATTACATTTCAGTTTAATATTTGATGCAAATTATGATCACACAACACTTGTTATCACCTATGAGACACTGACTAGATACCGTCCAAATTTATTTGTATGACAGAGGACTCACATGAAACTTGCAGTATGCACATTTCATAAGGTGACTAGTGAAGTTATTTGCAGAAACTTACGAATATAACACCCAATATTTAACGTTATCGAATCTGCTGGAGCGTGGTGAACAAACTGCTCTTGTATACTTCTTGAGAAATGGTGAAAGTGATGGATTACTGTCACATAAATCGATCCAATAATCCCTGTTTTTGTAGAAGCTAAATAGCCTCATGCATTTTACTGGCGGTGCCTGACTGTACAAAAGTCTTGTTTGTGTTTGTGAGCTATTGGAATTTGTGTGATCCTCGGTTGTATTTTCCAACGTTTCAAGTGACCACACTGTGGAGCAAGAAATCACCGTAACGAGCAACACTAAACAATTTGTCATTGTTCTTGATGAAATAATGAAATCATCCTTTGTGTGTCAATTTATATCATTCATTTGAGTAGACTTAGGCGATCTTTAAGATTTACGTGTGATAGTTTCGTGACGATTATGGGTTTGGTTTATTAAGATTTAAAGATTAAAGATGAAGCGAGTAGATTCTATTAGTTTATTCTACTTTATCTAACTAGATAGCACGTATTCATTTATCGGATATTACTACAATTAATTCAGATTAACAAACATAAATTGTTCTAGTTTTATCGGATTATGTATTTGTCCGTTTAGAATGCAATAACTTGATTTATCTGAAATATGAGTGGATGGTGATCAGAAATTCAATAATCACATTAGGATGGATGAACGCGTAACATTAGAACTTATCTTCTCACAGTAGATATACATCTGCTTTTACATTGTGCCTCATCATATGTCTTCTTCTATGAACTGTGGAGGTGATTTTGATTTCAAAGAGGTTTACTATAACGTCATTCAATTTATATTGTGCACATTCTGTCACTGTTGTTGTGTAAAGTGTCGGTCGACATTAACCAAAGAAGCAACTACCTGAATTCAATGGAAAATCAATTCACGACCGTGTAATCACCGTTTTCAAAGGTGTTAAAATTTGCGTAGACAAACAGGACAGATAATTTCCACAATTCAGTAACTACTAGATCTCATGTATGTAGAGGGAAAGAAGCAGAAAATATGAATCGACCGAACTCTCTTGATTCGTAATATCTTCTATGGAACATCATCATTATCATTGAGAATTGCAATCAAGCATGGTTTCTAAGAATTGTTACACGATGTCGAATAATTTCAACTGGCAAATGAGTTGAAGAGAACGTGTTCGACTAGGTTACAGTTTCAAGCTTTTGAACCTCAATGAGCTTAACTAAAGTAGTAATAGCATGACGAACTACTACTCCATTGCTGTTGGTGAACTAAATGGCTAACAGAAAACTTACAGTATAACTATTTATTCAGAAACTGTCAGCAGATATTCCTTGACAGCATTACCAACACGAAATAGCACGAAATGGTGAGATTCGTATCTATTTCTACTGAACTTATCTTTTTCTCCACATCATCCACAAAATCGGACAAAACGAGAACACCATCAGTCTGTCAATGTTCAGTGAAATAACAAATTCCTTGTATTAGCTTCACGTGACTCCATCTGAAGCCTTTGCTTACTAATTGACTAACTTATTCACTTCACTGATATGTTACTTGATTTAATTATAATGATAGTTTGTATATGTTGGACCGATGGTCATTATTTTTCTCGATGTAAACTAAGACTGAAACAGCAAGAAACACTGTGACTGATTATCTGCTGGACGAACTTGAACGTATACGAGCAGATTTTGAAGATCCTTGTGGGGTTTTAAATCGAGAGTAATCTGGAAAGTGCAACACGTAAGAAATCAGGGTCTCACATAATCAGTTTGACAGACAAGCAATACTGACAATAAGGATTGCCTATCAGCAGGTATGATTATATAAATGAATTTTAAGTGGACAAGAGCATTATGCAACTTGAAAGCTTAGAATTGAATTGTTGGACAGTGAGAACATTGAATCCTCTTCACATTTTAATTCGATAATATTTTACGTTTCCTTAATTGTGATATTCGTGATCAGTGAGTTAAATAATCATTTTAA